AGACAACCGGACGTCTAGTCACACTGATGAGCTGTGATACAACTTATTAAGAAGCGTGAGTAAAGTTTTCTTACAAAAATTCGCCTTTTTAAACATGTATTTAGTGCCTAGTATCGAATTACACGACTTGTCTGCCAAAGAACTTCTGCTAACCACCGCTACATTCATAACAAAATGTGTAAATATCTATCTATCTATCTGAGTATATTTATATCTATCTATCAATCTGAGTATGTTTATATCTATGTACCTATGTTTATATCTATCTATCTATCTGAGTATATATATATACATATATATGTATATATACATATATATCAATCTGAGAATGTCTATATCTATCTACCTATGTTCATATCTATCTACCTATGTTCATATCTATCTATCTATCTATCTATCTATCTATCTATCTATCTATATGTCAACCTGAGTATGTTTATATCTATCTTACAATCTGATTATATTTATATCTATGTTCATACCTATCATTCTATCTGTCTGAGTATATATGCATACATACATACATACATACATAAATATATATATATATATGTGTGTGTGTGTGTATATATATATATATATATATATATCAATCTGAGTCTGTTTATATCTATCTACCTATGTTCATATCTATCTATTGTTCATATAGATGAACCACGGGTTAAAAAAAAAAAGGAAAACGTGGGATCTTTTTCGGTCTTCACTCAGAAATGGAAGCGACACAAGGGAATCAACGAAGAACAGACACAAGACGATGGATTTCAAAATATAACATTTATTCATAAATATATATAAAGAAATAAAGAAAGAGAAAAAAACATTCATTTAACAAAGGGTTAGGGGATCATTAAAGAATAGAAGGCACGAGCGAATACATACATATATGAAAACAGATCAAACCAAGAGAATCAACTTATCTTTCAGTCGAGTTGATGTTTTCGCACGAAGCGAGAGTTCTGATGCTAAAACAACATTTTGGCCGGCCGGCAATTTTCCTGGATTTCTTTTCTTTTCACAAGTGTTCGAGGGTTCACAGCATCTCGTACAGGCGTTTCGTTGGGTTGATCAGTTTCATAGCAGTCTTTTCACCCCTAGTCGACAGACTTTGCTGTCTTCTTCGTCTCTGTGAGCAGTCTGTTTTTGGAATCGGGGCGTGTTGCCCAGCGACGTTCATCTGCTGCTGGTCAGAGGGAAACTGAAAACCCTTTTTTAGTTTTCCGCTGTCCCCAAAAACAGTCACGTGGGTTCCCTTCGTCCTTGACCGTGTACGCAGGAGGATAGGGCGCAAATCACGCAGTGCTTGTGCGATGGCCAAAATTTCAATACACGCTTAGTATGTTCTCATCACGTGAATCGCAGCAGGAGATCCTGATGGTGCCTGGAATTCATTTATGGTCAAACGCCTGATAGCTGCGAAATTTTGGAACCAGGTCATTCTCGCGTCGGGTCACTTCAAAGTTCACGGGCCCTTGGCTTATGGGTGGAAGAGTAGGTAAAGAGGGAAAGAATTTGTGAAGAGAAGAGGAGGGTATGGCTGATCATAGAATATATTCACTCGCAAGTCGAAATCATTGGATTTTATCTATTTTTATTTATTTATTTATTTTTCTTTTATATCTAACTAATTTTCGACTAGAATTTGAGATTTTACTTTGAGGTGCTTTTTAGCCTTACGCCTATATGGTTAATGAAATCGGGGCTGCGTCACACTATCTATCTGTCTGTCTGTCTATTAAAGTAAGAAAAATATTTCTTTTTTCGCCATTGAAAGTTTTAAGGATAGGGTGTATCTCGTTTCCACTCTGATGTTCACTTTAGTCCCCTGTTAAATACATGTCGTATTAATCATAATGTCGCTCCGTACACAGCATACAATATCCTAGCTTTACTTGACTACGTACAGAAATATTAAATAATTCACACAACTAACAAAAGAAAAGATTATAGAGCATAGAATGTATAAATATGATTTTCCAATGTTTATCTATTATTTTTTAAAAGTGTTTCATCATTGTTGTTCGCGATGTCTGACTACACAGTCGTTATTTATTCTCCTCTTTCCTGGCAAGATGGTGTGAATTCTGAAACCAAAGTGCAAACAATAAAAGAATTACCGAACAGAAGTTACACAACATAGAATATAAAATTAAGAAAAAAGACCAACAAATATTTAAACCGGTTTGGTAAAGACTAAATTACTTTTCTTCCCTGACAATAATTTCACTGTTTTTCTGTTATTTTTATCAACAGAACAAGCGAAATACTAGAAAAAACGTTTCTCATTTTTTTTAAATGTGTGTTGTTGATATTTCTCATATGAAATTTAAAGGTGTTTTTTGTTATCTCTTTGATATTATTCAATATTTTTCTTCCTTTGTTTGTCTCTATCTATCTATCTTTCTTTCTTTCTTTCTTGTTTCCATATTTCCTTTAATTATTTCATTTATTTTCTTCTTCTATTTATATTTCTCTGTTTATTCATATCTATCTATCTGAGTATGTTTATATCTATCTATCTATCTATCTATCTATCTATCTATCTATCTATCTATCTATCTATGTTTATATCTATCTAACTATCTACTTATATATCTATCTGAGTATTTTCATATCTATCTATCTATTTATCTATTTGAGTATGTTTCTATATATCAATCTATCAACCTCAGTATGCTTATATCTATCTACCTATGTTCATATCTATGTATCTCTCTTAGCGTGTTCATATCTATCTATCTATCTATCTATCTATCTATTTGAATATGTTCATATCTATATGTATATCTGTATATCTGTCTCTCTCAATATATTAATATCTGCGCATATCTATCTCAGTTTGTTCCCATCTATATAATTGCCAATCTCTCTCTCCCACTCTCTCTATATATACACACACACACACACACACACACACCCATATATATATATATATATATATATATATATATATATGTATGTATATATATATATATATATATATATATATATATTGCTATGTTCATATCTATTTATCTGCCTATTTATCTCAGTAAGTAATCTCACTATATTCACTTTGACCTATATATCTATCTGTTTATCTATCTATTAATTTCAATATGATCATATCTATCTATCTATCTATCTATCTTCATCTATCTATCTATCTATCTATCTGCCTGTCCATTTCTCTATATTCATATCTATCTGTCTATGCATCTGTCTCTTTAAGTCTTTTGATAGATGTCTATTAATTTATCAATGCCAATATTTTCCATTTCTATGTATGTGTCTATCTGTCTATCTTTCTATCTATATATCTATATATCTTTACCTATCTTTCAATGTCTGTTTCTCAGCCTCAATATCAAGGCACCACTTTCAGGCCGTTCATATCTGTGTATCTATCATTTTACCAATGTAAGTATTTTCATAGCCATGTCACTATCTATCTAACTATCTATCTAACTATCTATCTACCTATCTATCTACCTATCTATCTATCTATTTCCGTTTATATCTATGTATCTATCAATTTATCAATGTCAATGTCTTCATGTCACTATATATATATATATATATATATATATATATATACATATATATATATATATATATATATATATATATATTCATATCTATCTGTCTATCTATCTGTCTCTTACAGTCATTTAATAGATGTCTATCATTTTATCAATGCCAATATTTTGTATATATCTTTAATTATCTATTTATCTATATTGCTGTGTATATATATTTTATCTATCTTTCCATATCTGACTTTTCTCTGCGTCTTTATTAATGTAGTGTTTCCAACCTGTTCATATCTATAAGTGGCTTCATTATGCTATATATATATATATATATATATATATATATATATATATATATATATAAGTTGCAAATTAAAAAATAATAATGTATTTTATGAAAGTATTTATTTATTTATATATATATTAGATATTTTCAGATTGACCTCAATCTTTCTTTAGAAATAACTTATTTCTGAAAAAAGATTGAGGTCAATCTAAATATCAAATATATATATATATATATATATATAGAAGCAATCGTCAAGCAGCCTGACAATTGCGTCCAGCTTGAAAAAGCCTGTCGCCTCTAAGTGCTGACTTCAATGTTCACTTTCATATTTATATTTACATACGCTCTATCTCTGATATTGAGCACTTTATCCCATAAATATAGCACACCTTAAAATATATATTTCTTCATATATATATATATATATATATATATATATATATATATATATATATATATATTTATCGTTCTCAGTATTTCATATCTATGTCAATATCCATCAAAATACTGAATGTCGTTAACTAAAAGAATAAATGCTTTTTAGCACAGTTGAAAAAAAAATGTTTGACTTCTAAAACGCTCAATGCTCTTCCCATACTGTTAACTGGCGCAGCACAATCAATCTCTCCACTCTTATTTCCCAACATATTGACTCGAACTAAACTTTTTAAAAACATATCGTTTCATATTTCCAAACGGGTATATAATAAATAGCTACTGTGCATAAAAACCATCAGACACGTGGACGAATTTTAACAAATACACACACTGGAAAACCTTTTGTAACACACACACACACATATATATATATATATATATATATATATATATATATATATATATATTCCTCTCCCCCCCTTCTTTTTCTTTATTTGAGCTTTATAATCAATGGAAGGACCACCTAATGTTATATATATATATATATATATATATATATGTGTGTGTGTGTGTGTGTGTGTGTGTGAAACACGGAATTTACAAACAACAGCGGAAGGAAAAAACCTGATAGATAAGAAATATAGGAGTAAAAAATATAGTTCAGAATGAAAGTTAGGCTGGTGTGTAATATATTAATAATAATAATAATAATAATAACAACAACAACAACAACAGTGATAATGAAAATGAATAAAAGAGAAAATGAATGAAAGAGACACTGGCTGAAAAACAAAGACTTTCTCGAAAGAAACAATAAATTGTGATTAGAAAACATTCAAATGAATGAAGAATATGTTAGGAAGAAACAAAGAGAAAGGGAAAGACAAGTTAAGAAAGAAAGAAAGAAAAAGGGGAATCCATGTTAAGAAAGAAAGAAAAGAAGAAAGAAAGAAAGAACAAACGAACGAACGAACGAAATGAGGAAATAAAGAAAAAGGGAAACATATTCGATAGGAAATAAAAAGAAACAGTTGCTAGAAAAACCAAGTACTAAATGGATAAAGTAAAACAAATGAGCATTGAAAAATGAAAGAAAGAACGAAACTAATTGATGGAAAAAAAGCGAAAATTAAATTTGAAGAAAGAAAGAAAGAAAGAAAGAAAGAAAGAAAGAAAGAAAGAAAGAAAGAAAGAGAAAAAAAGAAATAAGCATGTTCATGAAGAAATGAAATCAAAAGATTGAAACTACCACCAAATCCGGAACGGTAACAAACCAATCATAACAGTGGAAAGAAGCGCTGAACTGTATTTCCTAGCGACTCGATATCACCGAAAACTATGTCCCAGAAATCTGCCATAGATAAATCCCCAGCTTATCTAGTAAACTTCCTTTTCTTTTAAATATATACATTCACTTACACACCCATATATACACACATTACACACGCACGCACACACACACATATATATATGTATATATATATATACATTACTCATATATAAATATATGTGTGTATATGTGTGCGTGTGTTTATGTGTATGCGTGTTTGTGTGTAGGCGCGTGCGCATAAGTGTTTATAGCTTAAACCTCAACCAGCGGGATTCGTTTTAAATCAGAGAGTCTTACCAGCAAAGATAGGTAGCAAGGTATAAATAATTTGTCGGGAAAATTACGCCTATATTCCTGACAGAAACTAACTCTTCCAACAGAGATGATTAGTCCACTGTTATCGTCAATTTGTTCTCTGATCTACTTCATCCTGAAACTGAAATATGTTTTAATGTCCTATTTAACTGTACTCTGCCAATTCCAAGCACCATTTTTCTTTTTACCTACTTCTTAGATGCAAAAATTGCGTTTTGCATAGTACCCTTCCATCCCAGCAGGAAGAAAAAGTGAGAATTCACCCTTGCTTAGAAATATAGACGCAACATAATCTTTCTATTTCCCTAGTTAAGCGTTATTTGGCTTGATTCGGTTTGGTTTAGTTTGTTTTACGGCAGATCAACCTCAATGCTAACAAGATTTTTATTGCTGGCAATACTTTTTTCTTCAAAAATGTATTGGTGACAATATTTTTTCTACAAAATTGTATTGCTGACAATACTTTTTTCGTCAAAAATGTATTGTTGACAATATTTTTTTCTTCAAAAATGTCTTGCTGACAATATATTTTCTGCAAAAATATATTGCTGACAATAACTTTTTCTTCAAAATTGTATTGCTGACAATAATTGTTTTCTTAAAAAATGTATTTCTGACAATATTTTTTACTTCAAAATGTATTGCTGACAATACTTTTTCTTCAAAATTGTATTGCTGACAATAATATTTTTCCTTAAAAAAATGTATTTCTGACAATACTGTGTAACCCGGATATAAGAGACTCGGATATAAGAGAAAACCGGATATAAGAGAGATTTTCTCTGGTCCCAAAGTGTTCCCATACTTACCTAAACAAAATAGACCAAACCCGGATATAAGAGAAACCCGGATATAAGAGACTTCTTCTCCGGTCCCGCCAACTCTCTTACATCCGGGTTACACTGTATCTTTTTTTCTTCAAAAATATATTGTTGACCGTATTTTTTTTCTTCAAAAATTCATTGCTGGTAATATTTTTTTACAAAAATATATTCGTAGAATTAAAACCTTTTTTTATGCTTTCATATTGTTTTAACTCCAGTTTGGGGGTAACTATATGCCCATAGTTAGGACCCTAACAAATGCTACAACTATTAGGTTGAGTTATAAATAAGTTTATTAGGTTGAGTCATAAATAATTTACGTTTTTGTATATCAACTTTATTCTTCAAAAAGCTAATTACGACAACATATTATTCAATTATTCGGTCACCATTATTTGCAATGCGTTTGTTGCCACTTATCTGCCAGCTCTTTCGTGTAAAATTCTACAATTTTTTGATGTGATAATTTTTTTTTTTGACGGACTCTTGAATCTGTTTTTCATTAGAAAATCGTTTCAACTCATCAAACCGTTTTGCAGTGATAGAAAACGTTTAGTACAAGGTCAGTTGAATGTGTCCAGAGGAGAACAGAACAAACGCGTTCCAATTTTTTTTTCCTGTCTTTCGACCTAAATCAATGGACGCATTACTCGCTGCTAGACGTAAACATATGCTTATTTATGTTTCATTGCGTCTTTAGAATTCGAAATGAATAATGCTCCAACGATCCCACCATGTGCACGAAATTAGCTTTCTTCCATGGAGCGCAGTTTATGGTATGATTTGTAGAAATATATCCTTGTTAAACAGCTTGCTTTTGCATTGAACTCTGTCGTATGTTAGTCTAATCCAAATGTACCGGACGCGGCATAAATATTTACCCATTATTTAAACATAAAAAGGTTAATTTTGCAGATTAGAACTCGCTCTTCATTCGCAAATGACTTGATAAATTTCATAAAATCTACCGCTTTGGAGTTATCGACATTAAGTGTTCGAATTCATTCGCGTTGTCGGCGGCAGCCTTTGCTGGTGTTCGTTGCATACATTCGTTGCGGACCTACTCTGAGTGGAATAGTTGTCTTGATTATTCCGCACGCAATAAAGTTCTCTTGCGCAGTAATTGAGACAAGTTGAGACGAGTAAGATCAGTAAAAAAACCGTTAATTACGTTCTCTTCTGCGCTTAGCTTTCCGCAGCGAATGTATGCAAACAACGCCAGTAATGGCTGCCGACAACGACGCGAATGAATCCGAACTTCAAAATGGTAGATTTTATCAAATTGATCAAGTCATTTTCGAATGAAGCGTGTACATTTACACCTAAATGTAAGTATTCAGGAAATTTGTATTGCAAACTGAGCGTGGGTCCTAATCTACAAATTAACCCATAAACATTTATTGATTAATTAAACATAAATTGAAACATACCTATTCGTAGGAAAAGTTTCAAATTTTGCATAAAGCTTGCTAACATTCCTTTGTTCTATTGCTTATTAATTATGGCGGCTCAAACAGCATCTGATCAAAATGTAAAATTGAAAATGGCTGGTATGAAAAATTTTAAGTTGACATAACTGTTGAGTTTTTACAGAAAAATAAACTTTTTTTCATGCGTGGAAAGTACTTCCCATATTAACATAATAATTACATATAGTAAGATTTTTAAATGAAACTTTTTAATGATATTAAGGAATAATTATCATATTACTTTCGACGGCATGCGTAAATGCTTTTCGATATCAGATTTACTGGATATAAAATGAGAGATTGATATTCTGCTGCTATTAAGTAAAAAAATGACTATCAACAATTACTACATATTAATATAATAATTGAAGATATATATATATATATAGAGAGAGAGAGAGAGAGTCATCCACAGATTGCCATTTCGCTGTATCACAGCTCATCAGTGTGGATAGACATCTGATTGCTTCAATCCGGGATCGAAACCAGACCGATTTGGCATCGGTCAAGCTATCGTCACACGGCAAAAAGAAAGTGAAATTTTAACTTTTTTACGCTATAATGAAGGACGTCAGTAGCTAGAAGAGCTCGATTCTCGTTGAAGAGCCTTGCATTAGCAGCAGGAACCTCATATATATATATATATATATATATATATATATATATATATATATATATATATATATGTGTGTATTAAAACAGTGAAAATCTTTAATATCAGTAATGAACTTAAAAAATCATCACCTTTCTTTTTATGGCAGTATTCTTGCTTTCTTCAAGAAAACCAACATCTGACCGGTTCCAAATATTCCCTAATCCCAGATATATTTAATCATTTTACTAGGGTCCTCAGTACTCTCATAAGTCCTGGTACGATTATCCGCTTCGTGATGACAAACTTCCAAAGCTGCCCAGCAAGGTAAGAAATAGGTATCATATGATCAGTTCTCGCTATCGAGTGCCTAAGCATAAAATTCCACTCGCTGGCCTATTTTCTTCTTGTTTATTGCTACCAGATCCTTTTCTCGTGGCTTAGATTGGGTGATCTGTTTGTGTATCAAGGTCGAAGTGGATTTGAAGTTCATCATCCTCTCACAGAGATATTGTTCTCTTCATACACCATATGTCCATGGAGTCTAAACGTAAGCTCTCGTCTTTATTTGTTTACACTTACAGTTTGAGAATGACAGTAATATATAAATAATTTTACGATTTCATTTGTTATAGTTTCTCTCTGATTAATATACGATATTTGTCGATACAATTAACTCTGCTGCCTCAGGTAAGAGAGAATTCAATTTTGGTATCATTAACAATTAAACCATGGAAATATTAACAATCAAACAACGTCTTAAAGTTATCGAAGTCTATTACGAAAAATGAACGTAAAAGAAAAGAACAAGGAAAAGAAGGGAACAGAAAAAAAGCGTATTAAGAAAGAAAGAAAGAAAGAAAGAAAGAAAGAAAGAACAAGGTAAAAAAAGGTAGGAAAATGTAAAGAAAGAACAAGGTAAAAAAAGGTAGGAAAATGTAAAGAAAGAAAGAAAGAAAGGGTAAACTAAGGTAATGAAAACGAAAAGAAAGCAAAAATGAAAGAAAGAAAGAAAGAAAGAAAGAAAGAAAGAAAGAAAGAAAGAGTAAACTAAGGTAATGAAAACGAAAAGAAAGCAAAAATGAAAGAAAGAAAGAAAGAAAGAAAGAAAGAAAAGACAAGGTAAAAAAAGGTAGGAAAATGTAAAGAAAGAAAGAAAGAAAGAAAGAAAGAAAGAAAGAAAGGGTAAACTAAGGTAATGAAAACGAAAAGAAAGTAAAATGAAAGAAAGAAAGAAAGAAAAGAAAAGACAACGTAAAAAGAAAAAGGTAGGAAAAAGTAAAGAAAGAAAGAAAGAAAGAAAGAAAGAAAGAAAGGAAAAAGAGTAACGTAAGAAAGGTAAAGGAAACGAAAAGAAAGAAAGAAAGAAAGAAATAGAAGAAAAAGAGACCAAATATAAAAAACAAAATATAAAAAAGATGAAAAGAAAGAGAAGAATAAATGTTCTTAAATGTAAATAAGGTTTCAACATCTAATGATTTTTTTTTCAGATTTAAGAACTTAAGTCTTTGGCAATTTCAATCATGGAAAGATTAACAATCAAACAACGTGTTAAAGTTTCCAGAGTGCAATTGGAAAAATTGTTCGTAAATTCAAACAAAGTGGGTCGGTGGCAGATGTGAAAACACCATCGTTTATGCCGTTCTGCTGAAAACATTGTTGCAGTGCACGAAAATGTGACCGAAAATCGAGAAACCTCTATTCGCCATCGCGCGCAGGAATTGAACCTCTCTACAACAACGTTACATCGTTTTCAATTGCACTCTCGGTTGGTCGATTATGTTAACCAAAAAAAAAAAAAAAACCGAAGTTCTCAGGGACACATGGCACAGTGGATAAAGACGTTAGTTAGATCCAGTGACAGGATACAAAGAGTGTGAGTTCAATACCTGGTTAAGGCGGTGGAGAACTTGGAGAGGGGAATTAACAGGAGATATCTGATAACTGGCATCCATTAGACATGGCACATGGAACTAGAACAGTCTAACCCAGTGAACGAAATAAAGGGTTCAGTTTGACATTTCAACCACCTGAAGAAAGCCGGAACGTACAACGACCGAAACATTGTGATAAGTGTGGCGACAAAGATGAGGACAATAGTCCGAATGATGTAAATAGTGTTCATGTCTTTTGTTTGTTTGTTTTTTTACATTTTTAGAAACCATGGGAAATGAGCATATTTTGTTTTGTCAGTCGTAGAGGAACAAATTAACAACGAGTGTATATAACAAATTAGACCGCCTATTAACTTTTATAAATTTTAATTTTAAACATCAATATTAGTGATTTCAAGTGTTTAATCTCCGATTAACATTCTTTTTTCTTTCGTGATCTTAGTCCTAGGTATGACGATAAACTTCACCCGGCAGCAATGTCTATGTTCGGGATATTGGAGATTTCGAGGAGCGTAGGCCCACCTCTTACCAGCTGTCGTTACCAGGTCCACCCTGACCCGGGGTGGTAGCACCTGTTAATGTCCCCTCTATGGAAAAATACGGAACCCCCAAACACTATGAAAATCTAAAAATACATTTTTATAGTATAAAATATCAGCAAGACATTAATACATAAAAAAATGCCAGCGATACAAATTTATAGTAAAATTGACAACAATACATTTTTAAAGCAGGATTACCATCAATAAATTTTATAGCAAAATGACCAACAAAACTTTTTATCTCTAGTTGAAATTATGCTATTGCATTCAAAATATTTAGATTCTGGCATTAAATAACACACAGAGGTTGATATGCCGCTAAACAAAGCCAAGCCATCAACATGAAAGAATTCTTTCATGACGTTAATCCATATAATATCCTACAATGCCATAAAGAAATCAAACTCTATTCCAAAATATTTTTAAGCAAAATTACTCCACGCATGAAGGGAATGCCACTAGCACGTAAGGCAGGAGTGCCACTAGCATGCAAGGGGTTACAGGGAGTGAGAGCAAGAGCAAAGAGGAGTGTTATGAGATGGAAGGGGGATCAGGATTAAGACACCAGAAGATAACGATTGACAATACATTTGAATATTTGAACATTATAGCTATCAGGGAAGCAAGTAGAAGAAATTGAGTTCCACAGTTGGGAAGTGCGAGATAAGCTGTTGGAGTAGAAGAGGCGGTTAGATTTAACCGTTTCGACAGAGAAAGTGTAGTATCGAGATGCCAATTTAATAGCACCCTTAAATTCATGCAGTTTGGGAACCAGTCAAATTAGCTCGTCAGAGCAATTGCCATGGAAATACTTGTCGGAAAAACAGAGGGAAGCCACAGCTCGTCTGTGAGAGAGTGACTGTAGACGAGATGCCAGATAAGAGCCTATCACATTGCATATCCGTCTCTGGATTTTGTCGAGGACCCCGAGATGAACAGCGGAGCCACCAGACCATATATGGCAGCAGTATTCAAAGTAAGGACAAATGGTTGATTTGTAAATTTGATGGATGATCTCAGGCGAGAAAAAAAACTTCCTGCTCGACGCAGAGCACTAATTTTCCTTGCGGGAGATGAAGCTTTTCGTTCAATGTAGTTGTTGCCGCAAAGAACCTTACGGTAGACAAGGTCGAATTTAATGTTTATAAAAAAATTAAATTTCGCAAAATAAACAATAAGATGATATGCCGTTAAACAAACAAATATAGTTATATGGAAAAATATGTTAAGAAATGGACAAGGTCCGACAATTTATTAAAGACATTTTATTATGTTTAACCATTACAAGTATTTAAGCAAATGCTCTTTATGATAAACAGTAACTGAACTTATACGGAACCGTCATATACGTTGACGGCTAACCGTCTCATAACCTTACGGTAGACAAGGTCAATTTAATGTTTATAAACTTCAATCTTCCATGAATCTCGTCCATTCAAACTGCTCTGGCGTATCGAATGTAAACAAATGACGTCATATGTTAAGAAATGGACAAGGTCCGACAATTTATTTATTAAAGACATTTTATTATGTTTAACGTTGTTATTTTATAAACAGAGCATTTGCTTAAATACTTGTATCTATAAAATAACAACGTTAAACATAATAAAATGTCTTTAATAAATGGAAAAAAATATTTTGAAAGAATGATTGTTTCAGATCGCAGTGTTTATTGCAGAAGTTCACTCATGGCCAGAAGGATTGACGAAACGGTAACGTTAACCAATACTTTTGCATTGATTTGAAGCATAACGAAAGCTTTTTTTTTTCCTGTTAAAAGTGTGGAGGAACCTGGTTTGAATGTGTTTTGAAAAGTTGAGAGATTTTGCGAACTGTTAAGTGAAATGAGAAGGAAACTGACACATCGCTGTTCGACCGTCATCTTAAAGAATAGAGGTCAGGCCAGAAGAATTTCCGATTGAGTTACCGGTCTTCTTGCTAAGTGGAAATTTCAGCCTTCCCAAATGGAAAGGCAGTCAGAAAAAAGACCGTGAATGATAGTGATGGTTAATGGGCTCCAAGAAGTGAAATATATATATATATATATATATATATATATATATATATATATATATATGATATATATATATATATATATATATATATATATATATATATATATATATGAGTGTGTGTGTGTGTGATTCGGTACTTTTCAAAGTAAAAGACCATGAATGATAGTGATGTTTAATGGGCTCTCTCATTGTGAGGATACAGAGATGTGGGTCATTCTTTGAGGTCCGTAACATTCATTGCTGACCTCGTTTCAAGAAATGGAAATATATATATATATATATATATATATATATATATATATATATATATATATATATGTGTGTGTGTGTGTGTGTGTGTATGATTCGGTACTTTTCAAAGTTGACTTCAGAGGTAACAATAGAAAGTCAATATCTCACAGGTACTATCTGCATTACTTGGCATGGTAGTTAAGGTAGAATATATTTACGAATAGCTTTGATGTAGATACATAGGGCAAACAGTGGTTTCATGCCTTTCCCCTTAGATTATTAGGATTGTATGAAGATGTGTAATTTCAATCGAAATTTCAAACTGGATTACCAATTCCATATTTATTTGTAATTTGTACCAGCAGAAAAAAATATGGGAGTAGCTGAGTGTTTTGAACATTTTCTTTCTGATCAGGAGACCCGCGTTCGAATTTCACCATGTTCGCTTTATCAGGGAGATGAATACTTGAAGTTATCTGTCTAAGGAGGCGATGGCAGCATGCGGTACCTTTGAAAAGTCCCTGAAAATCATACCAGGCGGTGGCCCAAGTATGAAGTCATCGAGCCAGAGGGAATGAGTGAACCGAGATTGTATAAACTACTGATCATGACAGCTTACGGGCAGTTACTCAGAAATTGTAACTAAGATGCGTTCAGTACAGTTTCAATATTAACAACAGGTGGACGATATAGTTAATAAACAGGCATAAATGTGCTTGAATAAGTGTCTGTAACAGGGATTGGTAAGCAAATGGGTGTGCTCCGAAGATGATTGTAACTTGACATTATATATATATATATATATATATATATATATATATATATATATATGAGAAATATAGTCTTAAGATGTGCTATATTTATGGGAATATCAGAGATAGAGCGTGTGTAAATATAAAAGTGAACATAGAATAGAAGTTGGTCACTTAGAGGCGACAGTCTGTTTCATGCTAGCTGCAATCGTCAGGCCAGACAATTGCGTCTAACATGAAACAGACTGTCGCCTCTAAGCTTCCCCACCTCCAAAAACCTCTTGCAATATTGAAAAATATTTTCTGGATTAATATAACTCACAAAGGGTTGATAAGGAATAGAAATCTAATCAAGTCACACGCTCTATCTCTTTTTTAATTCCTCTCTCTCTCTCTCCTCCCTCCCTATCTCTCTTTCTCTCTCTCCCCCTCTCTCTCTTTCCCTCTCTCTCCCTAGCTCTCTGCCTTTCTATTTCTATCTCTCTTTATGCTGAGAAGGTTCGTTTCTCTCCGTCCCTTCTCTGCTTCAGGCTACATCACACTGAAACACTAACTTTAACTAGAAGATGGGACAAAGAGATAGAGGAAAAGAGGTTAGTTTATTGTAATCTAGACATTCACAAAAGGAAGCCCGCATGATACTGTATATACGCAACTTAGAAGAATTTGTAAGTATCCTGTTAAGGTCTTACACTGAACTGTCTAGTGATGAAGGTTTACAAATACAAGAAGGTTCTTTTTCTCCTCCCAATACTTTCTGCTTAAGGCTACATCATGTTGAAACACCGGTTACCATACGATCACAGAAGTTAAGCAAAGTTGAGCCTGGTTAGTACCTAGATAGATGACCGCTTGAAGATACTACGTGCTTTAAGCTTCGATGCGCGATTAGCTTAATAGACAATGGCTCGGAATTGTTAACCTGGTAGCAGAGCTTCTATTACCGTTGGGTTTGTTATATTCACTTAAACACAAATACCCTTGGGAAACGTATGAACCCACCTCTTCTCCCCCAGGTATGGATTAATTATTAAGACTAAACCATTGTTATCTCAAGAAAAAATTCTTAGAAATTAAAATTTCTTGACTTTAAATAACCCCCAAAGGATTGACAAACCATCGAAAATGAATCCATATATAATAAAAATGGAAACAGACAGAACGCTTATTGAACATAGAATAACTCGTGTCAGAGGCAGTTTTGCCCAACACCCGCAAGTTTCGTTGAAAGCAAAACATTAACATGAAGACTCGAGTCATGTTCTTATATCGACACGTCAGATCGAGACTTTCATCCGGAAGCCATACATGACATCAAACCCGTTCAGAAATATCTAAAATGCCAATTCTAGACAACCGTTTCCTAAGATCAATAATGAAAAATGCTTTGAGCGGGTAAAGCATGATAGTTTTCGGAAAGATAATCCTGCTTTGAACTGGCGCTAAAGAACCACCATCAAAGAACTGTACCAAATAAAAGAATCCACATCACTTCAGGACTGCAAACAGCAGCAGCAAGAAAAATGGATAGCATGTGTCACTCGAAGAGAAAATAAGGAAATAATCAAGAAGCTAACATTCCACACGACATCAAACAGAAGTTTCGGAAAGAAACCCTCAACCATTACTGGAAAGAGCGATAACAGCTACTGGACTTGAGAAACCTGACAAATGTTTCCTTATATGGAAAAAGCTAATATACTTAGAATGAGAAAGAGGCAGTTGAAATTTCTTTGATATATATTGAGAAAAGAAGGCATGGAGAATTTGATATTCACAAGACATATTGAGGGCAGGACGAACAGGAGAAATCAGTGGTCCATCTACCTGATATGATTGGGTGAATAGACGAAGGATTGGGAAACAAACGTTGCTAAAAGTTACAAGGGTAGCCTGTTGTGGAGAGGTTTGTTCGGCCATACACTAAAAGGGTATAACACTTAGTAGAAGAATCCCCTTAACAGCAGTATATGGTTACATTTCTTCGAAGACTTTCAACTTCGGAATTTGTTTTTTATGAAGGTGTTCGGATACTCCTTAGAGTTCCGAGCTAAAGAAGACAGAAAGTTTCGGCCTGAGTTACTCTCTGAATACTCCTTAAAGGATGAAATAAGGAATTTTCAAATTTAACATGTTTCGCATTTGTTTAAGCGCCATCTTTTTTTTTTTTTTGGTTCCCGATTTTTTTTTTCTGATGAAGTTAAAATGAAAGCGAAACATGTCAAATTCATAATCGTTTTCCATTTGTCTCTTATTTTTATAATTCTGTCGAATTTAATCCATATGTCGTTTTGTTTCATTCCTGAAATATAAAAATAAATATATTGCCATTTCTTCTGTAGTTTCAGATTTCTTGTTCTAATTTCATTTTGGTCAAAGATATTTTCTGCTTTTTCCTTTCCTTCTTTTACTTAATTTCAACCAATGAAATTCATTCTAGGCAGATTGATTGATTGCTTTCTTTTACTTAATTTCAACCAATGAGATCCATTCTAGGCAGATTGATTGATTGATTTCTTTTACTTAATTTCAACCAATGAGATCCATTATAGGCAGATTGATTGATTGATTTCTTTTACTTAATTTCAACCAATGAGATCCATTCCAGGCAGTTTCATTGATTAATGTATTTCTTTTACTTAATTTCAACTAATGCAATCTATTCTAGGAAAATTGATGGATCGATTTCTTTTACTTAATTTCAACCCATAAGATCCATTTCATGCAGATTGATTTCTTACTCAACATTTTTGAGTGTATTTAAAGCCAGAAAACATTTTTGATGGTAAGAATTGTTGTTAGATAAGTACGATTTTTAGTGATACAAGTTCTACTAATTAACCCATAGCTGGTGGAAGAAGAGGTGGATTCCAACCTTTTCCAAAATGCACCCAAGTGAATAGAATAAACCCGACTGGAATTAGAATTTCGAGCCGTTATCAATCAACAAAAGCAGTACATCTGCATTCACTGCCTCTGGTATATTCAAGCGGGTACCCATCTAGGTACTGATCAGGCTCGACGCTCCAGCCTTCTTCAGGTGGTTGGAATGTCGAACAGAATCCTTTATTTCGCTCACTGGGATAGACTGTTCTAGTTCTACGTGCCATATTTGACTTACGGAATCAGCACATATGCTAATCCACAAAATCTCCTGAGCCGACCAAACATAGAAATGAATACAATATGGGAACCAGTAATAAGGAGTGTCAGAGAAAAGCGATAATAACAAAAATTGCAATATGAGCTCTGGCAAAAACATGCGAGAATAACATCAAAAATTGAAATACGAGCACTGGTAAAAATGGTTATGAAGACATTAGGTTTATAATACTCAGAAATTCATACTCACGGACACATGGCATAGTGGATAAAGGCGTTGGTTAGATCCAGTGACAGGACCCAAAGAGTGTGAGTTCAATACCAGGCTAAGGAGAACTTGTAGAGAGGAATTAACAGGAGATAAGTGATAACTGACATCCATTAAACATTGCACGTGGAAGTAGAACAGTCTACCCCAGTGAGTGAAATAAAGGGTTCAGTTCGACATTCCAACCACCTGAAGAAGGCCGGAGCGTACAACAGCGAAAACGTTGTAATAAACATAGTGACAAAAATGAGGACAATAGTCCGAAAAATGTAAATAGTGAAGATGTGATAGGATTGCGAAGTTGCGTCTTTGGGAAAGTGGCGACATAAATGGCAAACATGCCTTCTTCCACAAAAGAGGTGGTCAGCGATTCCCACTTCTGTCAAGTGTGGAATTGAAGATACACAGCTGTAATATTGCAGTTAGAGTTTAATCTGGTTCTAGTTAGGTTAGAAGGATTTAGTCACTTCTTGGAGTAATAGAAAGTACCGAGCATCTTGAACAATCGATTTTTGTCATTTTGTGGGGTAGGGGCCGTGTGTATGCGGGTATATGCGCGCGTATGCGTGTCTGTGCGCGTGTGAGGATATTCTGGTTAGAAAATGATTGAATATTCATTTAAGTACTTTTGAATACAGACCCACCAGAATCAATGAACTATTGACTGAGTGAAAAAAAAAGTTTAAATAATAATAATATTAAAAAGAAAAGGGAAAAGAAAAATAAAGAAACAAAGAAACAAAGAAGGAAGGAAAACTATTTCTTGCATATGGAATGAAAATAAAAATGCCATTATCAACAGAACAGGGTCCTAGATCACCAAAAGTATTGCCTCTTGACAAACGTGACGTTGTCATGGCCCTCAAAACTACTTGTCATTCTTTCTCTCTCTCTCCCCCCCCTCTCTCTCTCTCTGTGTTTCTTTTCAATTTTCCGGTACTGACGCCATTTTGGAAAAATCCTACGATCGTATTAAATTGTCCCTGCTATTAAAGGCCCCAATAGTTGCACTCTGCTCGAAGTGACAGTTGCATTTTTCAGCAAGTTCCATTGCCATAGCCTTACGAGCCTCTCTCTATCTCTCTGCTTGACGATGGATGCAAATGCAATGTCATTAACTTAGCGAGTCTATTTATGAAGGCGACAATCGATTTAAATATTCAAATCAGTATAGCTGAGGGATGAAAGAAAATGAAAGAAGGAAAAGAAACAGGATGCGGACAAGAAATAAATAATAGTGAGCGGAGATTTTGTGGCTTAGATCCTGAAAATCGAAAAGTGTGAACGACGTTGTTTTCATAAGATGAACAAGAATTAATTAATTGTTTTTAAAGTATGGCATTTTAGCATAGAGATTTCACTAGAGTAACCAGTGTCAGCAAAGGTCTGCCATATTTGATAACTTTTACAGTCGATGAACACAGATTCTGTTCACAGAAGATATTTACTGAATTTAGCTCATATTAGTCCAGCTTAAGACGATAAATGTTGTGTACGCAGTGAGAATAAGGTTTACTAAATTAGCATTTATTTATAAATCTCAACGTAGACGAGTACGACGCTCAAAATAGATCGAAGTTATTACAATGGAAATTTACTGGTCCAAGATCAAGTAGATGCAGAACCAGTTAATATCGATCTCCCAGGAAAACTAGATATTAACGGCGTCACTTGAATCTGGAACGAAATTAAATAATGGTGTACCAAGTCAGGTTCGGATTACCTTTAACAATAGCTCTTCACTTAGCTTGACTTATTTCGGAGCGAGATCAAATATTGGGGATCCTGTCTGATTCTGTTTACTAACAGCAATATCACTTCACCTGCAGAAAGCTATTCTGGAACGAGATCAAATAATAGATCGCTTTTCTAACAGCAATAGGTCGTTACTTATGTCAAGTTAATCTTGAACGAGATCAAATATTTCAGTACTCAGCCAGGTCCTGTTTCCTAACAGCAATATCAGTTTAGTTGCTTCGAATTAATATGGAATGAGATCAAATAATACTGTACTCAGTCAAGATCGGTTCTCTAACAGCAATAGTGTTCACTTATGTCAAGTTATAACTGGATCGAGATCAAATTTTTGGGTACCCACCCAATTTCTGTTTCTTAACAGCAATATCACTTCAGTTGCTTCAAGCTACTCTGGAATGAGATCAAATAATAGAGTACTTAGTCTGGATCGCTTTTCTAACAGCAATAGTTAGTTACTTATGTCAAGTTAATCTTGAACGAGATCAAATATTTTGGTACCCAGTCAGTTTTTATTTACTAATAGTAATATCACTTCACCTGCTTCAAGATATTCTGGAACAATGTCAAATAATACGGTTCTCAGTAAGGATCTGTATTCTAACATCAATAAGTTTTCGCTTATGTCAAGTTATTCGCGAACGATATCAAATATTTCGATAGCCAGTCAATTTCTGTTTCCTAAAAGCAATTTCACTTCAGTTGCTTTGAGTTAATATGGAATGAGATCAAATAATGCGGTACT